AACCCCAAACCCCAAACCCCAAACCCTAAACCCTAAACCCTCAAGACAAAATAAATAGAAATTGTATGTGGTACCAATCTGAATTTTCAAAAATATTTGTCTAAACAGCTGACAAACAGAGTTTACAGTAAATTAATCCAAAGCGGGAGGCCGGGAGGATTCAATTTACTTAAACCTGTGCGCCTTCCCGTGCCCCGGCAAACCAAAGCCCAACTCACCTCCCAAAGCCCAAAATTGGCTTCCAAAACCCAAAAAATTGTCCGCTTCTCGCAGCCCCAGCCCCCGCCCCCGCCCCAGCCCCAACACCAGCCCCAGCAGCCCCAGCAGCCCCAGCCCCCAGCAGCCCCAGCCCCCCAGCCCCCACCGCCCCACCGCCCCAGTCCCCAGCCCCCCAGCCCGCAGCCCCAGCCCCCAGCCCCCAGCCCCAGCCCCAGCAGCCCCAGCAGCCCCAGCCCCAGCCCCAGCCCCCCAGCCCCCAGCCCCCAGCCCCAGCCCCAGCCCCAGCCCCACAGCCCCAGCCCCAGCCCCAAATATGAAAATGTGGTTCCAAAAAACAAAACGTTTCGGTCAAAACGTTTCGGTTAAAACTTTCGCTCAAAACTTTCGCTCAAAACGTTTCGGTCAAAACTTTCGCTCAAAACGTTATTGGGACCCAAACCCTATACAATTTCTATAAACCCTAAACCCTAAACCCTAAACCCTAAACCCTAAACCCTAAACCCTAAACCCTAAACCCTAAACCCTAAACCCTAAACCCTAAACCCTAAACCCTAAACCCTAAACCCTAAACCCTAAACCCTAAACCCTAAACCCTAAACCCTAAACCCTAAACCCTAAACCCTAAACCCTAAACCCTAAACCCTACCCTTATTGCTTAGGGTCCAGCGACTTGGGCGCGGCGGAATCACCATGCTCACGCGGATGCGCTGGGCCGGGCCGAGGCGTGTCGCGTAGCGTTAAAATTACCTTTGGAAACAGATTCTTCAGTTACCGAGAGACATCCGGCAAAAAAAAACAAGTTTTGCACAAGAATGACAATGATCTGCAAGCACCAATTCTTGAATGTAAAAAAACTAAAAAAAAATCATTCAAAGCAAATCATCATCATCATCATCATCATCATCATCATCATCATCTGATCATTCAACAAAAACAAACAATTTATTCAGAAAAAAGTTCTTACATCCTTTTCACCCCCAGGTTTGGGCGTCACTCCCACACGGTCGCATCGCCGCACGTCTGGCGACTCGAAAGGCGAAACACATGTGGCGCGTCCCAGGAGTCATATTCTGGTGGATCAGCAGGCGGCGCCTGGAAAGCAAATGGTCACTTCGCCACTTCCGAAAGCCATCCAATAATCGTCGTTGTCCTTTTGACAGGACCCGCTGAGGCCCTTCACGGGGAAATGCTCTGCTTGGTACTGCACGGACGTGTCGCGGTCACAGGGCACGTCCGCGGAGAGGCCGTTGCTGCTGCTGGGGCCCAGGTTGTTCTTCACATACATGGAGTACAGCTTCTGTTCACTTGGAATCTTGGTAATTCCCCGATGTACCCATCCGAAGGGTTCCAGTTGAAGGAATACTCCCCGCCCGCAGGGACATCTTGCCATACCTTTCCCCCTTTGGTCAGCTGCCGTTGTGGCAACTGAACCATCGACTTGCAAGGGTCGTCACCTGGTGAACTGCAAGATAAGCTTGTGTAGTCTTGTTCAACTCCTGTGACGATGGTGGTCTTTTCCCAATTAACTAGACTCTTCTGGCTGGAGTCGTAGTAAAGAGCTTCACTTTGACCAGGGCTTGCGAAGCACGCGGCGTGATCGGGATAATTTTCGGTGGTCATCGCCCACCCTCCCGTATAGGCACAGTATGCCTTTTTGGCATCTGTGACCATAATCATCAAATAAGAGTTCTGTCCTCCCAAGCATTTGGCATAGGCAGCATTGAACCCTTCAGCACATACAGGTGCCAGCTCCTGAGCGGGCGTTGCACCCGAAGGGGACGGGCCTTTCACAACGATCGGGGTACCGCCACGTGAGCGTGTCTGGATCAAGCTCGAGGGCTCTTGGCAAGCCTCCTCGCTCGCGGTCACAACGGCACAGGCTAAAAGAGCTCCCAAAACAACGGCGGCCATGATTTTCGCGCGTGAACTTGGGCCCAAATGCTTTGGATGAGCGGAACTTAAAGCACCGCACCTCCAAACTTCCACAACCCCCCATATTCATCCGATGCAGAAAGATTCCTGCACATGCGTCTGGGATGCTTCACCCACGATCATTGCGAGCGTTCCGCTTTGCACTCGCAGCACCGACCCCCCCCCAGCGATCCACTGTTGTGGTGATTCAACAACACATAAATCTCAAACCTTACAGACCTCAACCTCCACTCCCTTAGACTTTAAACCCATCTAGTGGCTGGTTGAAGGTGAAGCTGCAGAGTGCGGAGGCTACGCTTCTCTTTTGCAAATGAACTCCTTCTTACCTTGTGCATTCCTCCGTACCCACTCATGAAATGGGCTACCTCCTTTTCTATCTTCCCTCTTCTGGTTTCCCCCGCCGGGGACGCCTACTGTGAATCCCAATCGGTGGGTTCTCTTGGATTCTGGAACTATTCCGTAAGATATTCGTCATATTTGGAATGGGCGCTTGGCGACATATGGGAGCTTTGGACGCAATGCGCATTCCATTAAAGAATTATTAGGAGCAGATGAGGTTCAGTTCAAACTCATCATGTAGAAGCCGACCTGTTCCCATACATGCTGTGCTTTCGTGATTCTTTTCGCCGCTCCTCTGAGATGACATCCATTATATCAGAAGGGGTCTTCGAAGCAATACCTGCCAGCACAATGAGGAGACGCCTTCAAGGTCCCTTGCCCGCTCATCCGGACCATGGCCATGAAAATCAGAGGCAAATTGGCAAAGTGCAAAGCTTGACGAACATCCCAGGGCCTGAGCCTCTGCACCTAAACCAATGAAGCGGAGCTGAGCTGAGGAGGCAGCTCTGATGCTTTCACGATCTCTTTCATACTTGCATCCGCATCCTGCAGGTGCAAGGAATGCAGGTCGAGGACGAGTGCAGACCCCTCTGCAGATTCTAAGACTGACAAATGCTCTCCCACCTCATTGATCACAGTGAAGTCGATCTTGCCGCTTGTGAGAGCCCACTCCATATCTGAGGTGACCTGTCGCAAGAACCGAGGAGCCATTCAATGCTGGACAGGCTTGTTGACAACCCCGAGCCTCATGCCAAGGGTCTACAGACCTACCGGACGCATCTTCGTGCGCGCACTCTGCACGCCCAGTGCATCTGGAGGCAGCATTGTGAGAGCCGACATACTCTCGCACACACGAAGAGTCCCCGACGCAAGCTCCAAGAAGGCTGTACCCCCAGGCCGCAAGCCCTAAACCCTTTCAAGCACTCACTCGGTTTGTAATCAGCACCGGCCTGTGCACGCAATGGCCCCAGCTGCTGGCGCACAACCTTGTCGATTCTTGCGGCACTGGGATGCTTTCGAAGAAGGGGTTGTTAGGGTATGTTCGATGCTTGCGGGCTGCGCATTCGGCCGAGCTATTGGCCATCTGATGATGGATATCACTACTAGCAAGCACTCCAGAGATACTGAAGCAAGACAAACACCTAGACTTCTACCAGCTTGAACTGAGTCCCTGACCGAGTCAAGCAAGCCCTGAGCCTGTGGTGGTTGCAGACTACTTTGCAGTTCGAGTTTAGACTGTTTTGTTGTTCAAGGCAAGCAAGTTACAGACAAACGCGCAGGTAGGACAGCTGCAGCTTCTAACAGGCACTTAGCACCAGCTGCGGTATCATTTCGGCATGCTGTCAGCCTCCCAGCGGCGCTGATTTCGATCCAGGATATCGTCCAAATTCTTCATTGAAACCTGACTTGACCGCTCTTGCACAGCATCGTGCACACAAGGAGGCCCAGTGCTGATTCAAGGCTTGTTACTTCTTGTTGAATGGAGCCGGTGTGCCAAGCCAGAAAGTAGCCAGACTCTACAAACTCGCGGCTGTTCGGAACTGACGCGACTTGCTGGCCCCGTGTTCTGCCAATCACCTTTTCGGTTCTGACTTCTGTGCTGTAAGACTGCTGTAAGCGTACTGTTCACAGCAGTTGCAGCAATGAATCTCAAGCCCACTGTACAGGGTCTGAGCTTTGGGGGTGGCCAATGAGGCAGCCACCCACACGGTAACCAGCCGAAGCTCGACCTTCCGACGGTCCGACAGATTGCCAGCAAGCTTGATGCCCACTACTTGCTTTTAACAAGCTTCTCAATGCACTACTAGCTGCTGACCCGTAGTGCCCGACAGTGAGAACACGCACCGTCACTATTTCCTGGAACGCCCAGTCGACCAAGCAAATGCAAACCGCGCTGCGAGTTGTGATTTACAATTTCGTAACCAGCAGAGGGAGCAGTAGGAATCACAATAATAATAATCATAATAATAAATAAATAAACAAATAAATAAACAAAAAAATAAAGAAATAAATAAATACATAAATAAATAAATAACAACAATAGTAATGAAAACTTGTGGTGGTGGTCCTGCTAGTAGTAGTGGTCGTCGTCGTTGAGTACTACTCGTGGCAATAGCACGATTCTGCGTGCTGCACTGGTCCAGGGCAAGACCGTCACAACGCTGATCGTGGTTGTGGTCGAGCGGTTGTGGGTGTGTTGCCCGCTCGGTGCTGTCGGATGGGTTTGGGGGGAAATCTGACTCCATACTTCGCACCGTCCGGTTCGGGTTGCAGATATGTTGTTCATGGACTTTTCCGAAAATTATTCCCCAGAGCATCCATGCCCGCCAGAACGTCCATTAGCAAGATCCATGCCCACATGATAAAAATGTTTGTGCCGCCGGAGCATGGTGGGTGCGAATGGCCAAATCAAAGCATCCATGCCGGCACGATGATGTAACGCCCAAGATACCAGAGCATCCGTTGGCCAACGAGCCCTTGCTTTCACGATGATCACGCCCTTTTTATGCCCGGAGCATCCATGCCCCCAAGGGCATCCTGTATTCCCAGCATACACGGGGGTTTATGGTTTACATGCCTGTTTGCGGCTCTTGGCTCTCAGGTTTGAGAACATATTGGCGAGTAAATTCTTTGCCATGGTACATTCGAGGGGCCGAAGAAATAAGTTCTTGTTAAGCACTTGTTCTGGAAACTTAGTGTTTCCTTGAGAAGTCTGGGTTTAAGAACTACTGGTTTTGTGAATTGAGAGGCCAATTGTAAGAAGGGTCGCCTTCCATGGGGAAATGTGTATGCTGCAAGGGCTTGTCTCACATGTAAATATGCATCTCGGGTCTTTGTGGCTCTATACTTCGGACCAGCTTGGCCAAACAACAGCTGTTTTGTTGAATGTATCTTCCATTAATACTCAGTATTCCAGAGATCAATATAGCCTAGTGGAATCGTTGGAAAGGCGGGGGTTTACAGTCCATTTACCAATGGGTTTCGGGTGGGAATATTTGAAAGATGAGCCTTATCCCAGCGAAATTGCATGGTTTGCGGGCTGAAGATGCAACAAGTGAAGGAAATCTATGAAGCCAGTCTTAAGGAAGCGAGGGGAAACAGTTCCATGTGGTGTAAGTCCCCGAGAAACGGGAATGATTTGAGCAGATATCGTTTCACTAGCTTGCGGGGCCTTCCAAAAGCCTCCCAAGAGGCGACTAGAACGCAGATGTTGGTACTCTCCTCCTCGTCCTCCTCGTCGTTAGTTGTAGTTGTAGTTAGTAGTTAGTAGTTAGTAGTTAGTAGTTAGTAGCTAGTAGTTAGTAGTTAGTAGTTAGTAGTTAGTAGTTCGTAGTTAGTAGGTTAGTAGTTAGTAGTCAGTAGTTAGTAGTTAGTAGTTCGTAGTTCGCAGTTCATAGCTAGTAGCTAGTAGCAAGTAGCAAGTAGCCAGCTCGGCTAGTAGCTAGGAGGTAGTTGGAACGGGTGTTGGGTTGCCGCGAGGTTTCCGGCATTTCAGGGCTTTGCCAAAGTTTATGGACTCAGTTGGGGGGGGGTTGGGGGTTGGGGGGGGTTGGGGGTTGGGGGGGGGATGGGGGGGGGGGGGGAGGGGGGGGGGCGGGGGTTGGGGGGGAGGGTTGGGGTTGGGGGGGGTTGGGGGGTTGGGGGGTGGGGGGGGGTTGGGGGGTTGGGGGGTGGGGGGGTTGGGGGGGTTGGGGGTCGGGTTGGGGGGGTTGGGGTTTGGCCTGAACTGAACCCTGAACCCTGAACTGCCCTGAACCCTCAACCCCGGCCCTAAACCCTAAAACCCGAAAAATGTACGGTCTATTGCCTCGAACTAGGGCTTAAGGGCCTAGGCCCCGAAACAAAACCCTCAAACCCCAACCCTAAACCCCAACCCTAAACCCCTAAACCCTAAACCCCAAACCCTAAACCCTAAACCCCGAAAACCCAAACCCTAAACCCCAAACCCTAAACCCCAAACCCTAGAACCTAAACCCGCCTATTGCCTAGGGCTAGGGTTTAGGGTTGTAGGGTTTAGGGCCTAAGGGTTTGGGGCCAGTTTAGGGGTTAGGGCCGGTTAGGGGTTTAGGGTTTAGGGTTTTGGGCCTTTAGGGTTTAGGGCCTTTAGGGTTTCCCTAAAACCTAAACCCTAAGGCCTAAAGCCCTAAACCCTAAAAGCCTAAACCCTAAAGCCCTTAACTGCCCTAAACCCTAGGCCCTAGGCCCTAAACTCCTAAACCCTAAAGCCCTAAAGCCCTAAAGCCCTGAAGCCCTAAAGCCCTAAACCCTAAACCCCTAACCCTAAACCCTAAACCCTAGACCCTAAACCTCTTCCACTTGCGGGTTCCTGGTGCTACAAACGCAAGGGTTTAGGGCTAAGCCTAAACCCTTAACCCTAAACCCTGAGCCCTGGGCCCTAAGCCCCAAGCCCTAAGCCCTAAACCCTAGCCCTAAACCCTAGCCCTAAACCCCAAACCGTGCAAGCCCCCGATAGAGCCTAGGGCCTAGGCCCCTAAACTAAACCCTAAAAACCCAAACCCTAAACCCTAAACCCCTGAACCCCAAACCCTAAACCCCAAACCCTAAACCCCTAAAACCCAAACCCAAAACCCAAAACCCTAAACCCCCAACCTAAAACCTAAACCCGCCTATTGCCTAGGGCTAGGGTTTAGGGTTGTAGGGTTTAGGGTTTAGGGCCTAAGGGTTTTGGGCCAGTTTAGGGGTTAGGGCCGGTTAGGGGTTTAGGGCCTTTAGGGTTTAGGGTTTCCCTAAACCTAAACCCTAAGCCCTAAAGCCCTAAACCCTAAAGCCCTAAACTGCCCGAAACCCTAGGCCCTAGGCCCTAAACTCCTAAACCCTAAAGCCCTAAAGCCTAAACCCTAAACCCTAAACCCTAAACCCTAAACCCTAAACCCTAAAGCCTAAAGCCTAAAGCCTAAAGGCCTGAAGCCTAGAGCCCTAAATCATGAAGGCAGTGCGAAATCGAACCGTGGCCTGGCGGAGGAATCTCTGCCTCAAGCGCGGTGGCCGGTCGTGGGACTTGTGTTGACGAAGATGATGCTCTGCCCCACGTTCCTCACGCTGTAAAGCTCTGAGAGCTTGTACTTCTTGTTGTCGTCTGTTCCTGGGCTCGGCTCTACGCCACAATATGCCAACGTTGTTTTTGTCAACGTGGATCTTCGCCGCGTGCTTAGGGCCGGTTACGGGTTTAGGGTTTAGAGTTTAGGATTTCGGGTTTAAGCCCTAAGGCCCTGAAACCCTAAACCCTAAAGCCCTTAACTGCCCTAAACCCTAGGCCCTAAAGCCCTAAACCCTAAAGCCCTCAACCCTAAACCCTAAAGCCTAGAGGCCTGAAGCCTAAAGCCCTAAACTTCCCCGAACACTAGGCCTAGGCCCTAAACCCTAAAGCCCTAAAACCCCTGGGCCTAAACCCTAAACTAGGGCTTAAGGCTTGGGATTCGGGCCAAGGGTTTAGGGCCAGGGCCGGACCTTAAGGTTTTGGGGCAAGTTTAGGGGGCAATAGGGTGGGTCTGAGTCTTGGGGCCTTATAGGGTGCAGTGTAGCGGCTGGCGGCTAGCGCCCCTGGGGCCAGCCTAGGGTTCAGGGTTTTAGGGTTTAGGGGTTGGGTCCTAAACTTTGAAACCCTACCCCAAAACCCTAAACCCGAGCTGACCCTAGACCCTTAAACCCTACCCCAAAACCCTAGACCCGAAACTGACCCTAAACCCTAAAGCCGAAATTGCTCCCAGGGACGCCATGGTCAGCCGGCAGATCATTGGCCTATCGGCAGGGTTTAAAGTTTAAAACCCCGGCCCTAAACCCTAAAACCCGAAAACCCTAGGCTCTATTGCCTCGGGCTAGGGCTTAAGGACCTAGGACCTAGGACCTAGGGCCTAGGGCCTAGGGCCTAGGGGCCTAGGCCTAGGCCCCTAAACCAAACCCTAAAACCCAAACCCTAAACCCCAAACCCTAAACCCTAAACCCCTAAACCCCAACCCTAAACCCCAAACCCTAAACCCTAAACCCCTAAACCCCTAAACCCCAAACCCTAAACCCCAAACCCTAAACCCTAAACCCCTAAAACCCTAACCCTAAACCCCAAACCCTAAACCCAAACCCTAGAACCTAAACCCGCCTATTGCCTAGGGCCAGGGTTTAGGGTTGTAGGGTTTAGGGTTTAGGGCCTAAGGGTTTGGGGCCAGTTTAGGGGTTAGGGCCGGTTAGGGCTTTAGGGTTTAGGGTTTAGGGTTTAGGGCCTTTAGGGTTTAGGGCCTTTAGGCCTCAGGGTTTCCCTAAAACCCAAACCTTAAGGCCTAAAGCCCTAAACCCTAAAGCCTAAACCCTAAAGCCCTTAACTGCCCTAAACCCTAGGCCCTAGGCCCTAAACTCCTAAACCCTAAAGCCCTAAAGCCCTAAAGCCCTAAAGGCCTAAAGCCCTAAAGCCCTAAACCCTAAAGCCTAGAGGCCTGAAGCCTAAAGCCCTAAACTTCCCCGAACCCTAGGCCTAGGCCCTAAACCCTAAAGCCCTAAAACCCTAAAGCCTGAACTGGGCCTGTAGCGGCTAGCGGCTAGCGCCCCTGGGGCCAGCCTAGGGTTTAGGGTTTTAGGGTTTAGGGGTTGGGTCCTAAACTTTGAAACCCTACCCCAAAACCCTAAACCCGAAGCTGACCCTAGACCCTTAAACCCTACCCCAAAACCCTAAAACCCGAAACTGACCCTAAACCCTAAAGCCGAAATTGCTCCCAGGGTGCCTAGGGCCCCTAAACCCTAAACAGGCCCTAAACCCTAAACTACCCTAAACCCTAAACCCCGCCCTAAACCCTAAAAACCGAAAACCCCTAAACCAAACCCTAGGGCCTATTGCCTAGGGCTAGGGCTTATGGCTTGGGATTCGGGCCAAGGGTTTAGGGCCAGGGCCAGGGGTTTAAGGTTTAGGGCAAGTTTAGGGGTAATAGGGCCTTATATAGGGTTTAGGGCCACCAGGCTCCACGTCTTCCGGAGCAGTGTTCTTTGGCTGCGGGGGGGCAAGTTCGGTGTGCCAGGAATGTTCCCGGGCACGGGCGTGCGCGCCGCCAGCGCACAAGACCCTTAAAATCCAAAGTTTCTGTTGCAGCTCGTGGAATGCGAAGCCTTGTCTGGCAAAGAAGTCCAGCTTCTTGATGGACAGGTCGTTAGGAGTTGCGGGGCAAGCACGCCCTGAAAACCCTCAACACCCCAACAACCCTAGAAAGTGAAATCCCTAAAGCGTCTAGAGACCCTAAAGTGGGCTTAAACCCACATAAATCACCAAAAACACAGAAAACCCAAAACAACCTCAAACCCCTAACAAGCCTGACAACCCTAATAAATAACCCTAAACCCTAAGCCGCCTAAGCCTAAACCCGAAACCGCCTAAACCCTAAAAACCCCAAAAAACCCTCAAACCCTAAACCTAAACCGCCTAAACCCGAAAAACCCTAAAGACTCAAGACCCTACGTCGCCGAAGCCCTAAAAGCCGGCCCTAAATCCTGCTCAAGACTGAAGACCCCGGCCCTAGCCCTCGGCCCAAGCCGGTAAAGGGGTCTGGGGAGACGTTTTAATAGGGCTTTGGGATCTTATTCGGGCCTCAAAAGCCATGTCTTCCACTAGGTTTCGAGCCTCAAAAGCCACACCTTCTGACAGCCACCGCCCATTCCTGGCTGGGCTTTATCCGGAGGTTCAGAGTCGTAAACCCTCAAGCCTCAACCCTAATACCCCTAACAACCCTTAATAACACTAATAACCCTGCGTGTAGGGCCGGGCTTAGAGTTGCAGGGCCCTGGAGCCTAACGGCCCAGAAGCCCTGAAGGGATAAACCCTGAACCCGAAATCCTCCATAGCCATGTTCGCTCATTTTTCTTGTGGGGGTTCAGGGTTTAGGGTCCCTTGGGTTTCGCGTTTAGGGTTTAGGGTATTCCGCAGCCCAATGGCGCGATGCGTCTGGGGACATTTGATAAAAGTTGATCAATTACCAATTGGTCGTGCAGCCGGATGGAAGCCAAGCTCCAAACTACCCCCAATTCAGGGTTTAGGCTTTAGGGCCTCTGGGTTTCGGGTTTTAGGGTTTGGGGTTTAGGGTTTAGGGCCCCCGAAACCCCCAAACCTACATCGACCTGCACGAGCCCGGCCCAGCGACTCCATCGTGGCCAGAAGTCGGAAGCCCTGCGCGTGTGGGGTTTCAGACTTGGGCCCAGGGTTTAGGGTTTAGGGTTTAGGGTTTAGGGATCTGAAGTTACTTGGGTCCCTTTTGGGGTAATTACCTTCTATAACTTACTTCTCCTATAACCAAGGCAAAAAAACTTTCTCAATCCTAATAAAAAAAGGAAAACCAGATCAACTATTGGCTAAGTAAGATAATGCGGCTATACTACGCAGCCTTCTGAGCCTTCTAACTTGAAACCTGCCTAGGGTAGGGACCGTAACTGCGAGTAATGCCAACTTACTTCCTGCTGTGTCTCTGCATGGTCTAGGTTCCCCCGAAAGCGTGGAGGAGGTTTTCTGAATAAACCCCAAACCCTAAACCCCAAACCCTAGAACCTAAACCCGCCTATTGCCTAGGGCTAGGGTTTAGGGTTGTAGGGTTTAGGGTTTAGGGCCTAAGGGTTTGGGGCCAGTTTAGGGGTTAGGGCCGGTAGGGGTTTAGGGTTTAGGGTTTAGGGCCTTTTAGGGTTTAGGGTTTCCCTAAAACCTAAACCCTAAGGCCTAAAGCCCTAAACCCTAAAGCCTAAACCCTAAAGCCCTTAACTGCCCTAAACCCTAGGCCCTAGGCCCTAAACTCCTAACTCCTAAACCCTAAAGCCCTAAACCCTAAAGCCCTAAAGCCCTAAAGCCCTAAACCCTAAAGCCTAGAGGCCTGAAGCCTAAAGCCCTAAACTTCCCCGAACCCTAGGCCTAGGCCCTAAACCCTAAAGCCCTAAAACCCTAAAGCCTAAACTGGGCCTAAACCCTAAACTAGGGCTAAATCTTAAGGCTTGGGATTCGGGCCAAGGGTTTAGGGCCAGGGCCAGGGCTTAAGGTTTTGGGGCAAGTTTAGGGGGCAACAGGGCGGGTCTGAGTCTTGGGGCCTTATAGGGTGCAGTGTAGCGGCTGGCGGCTAGCGCCCCTGGGGCCAGCCTAGGGTTTAGGGTTTTAGGGTTTAGGGGTTGGGTCCTAAACTTTGAAACCCTACCCCAAAACCCTAAACCCGAAGCTGACCCAGACCCTTAAACCCTACCCCAAAACCCTAAACCCGAAACTGACCCTAAACCCTAAAGCCGAAATTGCTCCCAGGGACGCCATGGTCGGCCGGCAGATCATTGGCCCAGGGCCAAGGTTCAAAGTTTAGTGCCGGCTTAAGGCTTAAGGGCCTATAGCCTAGGGCCTTAGGGCCTAGGGGCTAGGGCCTAGGGCGTAGGGCCCCTAAACCTAAACCCTAAACAGGCCCTAAACCCTGAACTACCCTAAACCCTAAAACCCGAAAACCCTAGGGTCTATTGCCTCGCTCGGGCTTAAGGACCTAGGACCTAGGACCTAGGGCCTAGGGCCTAGGGGCCTAGGGGCCTAGGCCTAGGCCCCTAAACCAAACCCTAAAACCCAAACCCTAAACCCCAAACCCTAAACCCTAAACCCCTAAACCCAAAACCCCAAACCCTAAACCCTAAACCCCTAAAACCCTAACCCTAAACCCCAAACCCTAAACCCCAAACCCTAGAACCTAAACCCGCCTATTGCCTAGGGCTAGGGTTTAGGGTTGTAGGGTTTAGGGTTTAGGGCCTAAGGGTTTCGGGCCAGTTTAGGGGTTAGGGCCGGTTAGGGGTTTAGGGTTTAGGGTTTAGGGCCTTTAGGGTTTAGGGTTTCCCTAAAACCTAAACCCTAAGGCCTAAAGCCCTAAACCCTAAAGCCTAAACCCTAAAGCCCTTAACTGCCCTAAACCCTAGGCCCTAGGCCCTAAACTCCTAAACCCTAAAACCCTAAAGCCCTAAACCCTAAAGCCCTAAAGCCCTAAACCCTAAAGCCTAGAGGTCTGAAGCCTAAAGCCCTAAACTTCCCCGAACCCTAGGCCTAGGCCCTAAACCCTAAAGCCCTAAAACCCTAAAGCCTGAACTGGGCCTGTAGCGGCTAGCGGCTAGCGCCCCTGGGGCCAGCCTAGGGTTTAGGGTTTTAGGGTTTAGGGGTTGGGTCCTAAACTTTGAAACCCTACCCCAAAACCCTAAACCCGAAGCTGACCCTAGACCCTTAAACCCTACCCCAAAACCCTAAACCCGAAACTGACCCTAAACCCTAAAGCCGAAATTGCTCCCAGGGTGCCTAGGGCCCCTAAACCTAAACCCTAAACAGGCCCTAAACCCTAAACTACCCTAAACCCTAAACCCCGCCCTAAACCCTAAAAACCGAAAACCCCTAAACCAAACCCTAGGGCCTATTGCCTAATTAGGTCCAGGGCTTATGGCTTGGGATTTAGGGCAAGTTTAGGGGGGTCTTATATAGGGTTTAGGGCCACCAGGCTCCACGTCTTCCGGAGCAGTGTTCTTTGGCTGCGGCAGCGCATCGCAGCGTGGCTGAAGCCCGGCCGTCGTTTCCGGCGGGGGCAAGTTCGGTGTGCCAGGAATGTTCCCGGGCACGGGCGTGCGTGCCGCCAGCACAGCTGCAGACCTGCAAAGCTTCATGATCAACTCGTGGCAGGTGTTGTAAAAAGCACGCTCTCCTCATCGGAGAGTGGAATCCTCTGGGGGGGGTTGGGGAGGGGTTGGGGGGAGGGGTTGGGGGGGGGGGGTTGGGGGGGGTTGGGGGGGGTTGGGGGGGTTTGGGGGGAGGTTATTTACAGCGTTGTCGCCAGTGTGTCCAACATACCGCGCAAGGTTGTGGAACAAGACACGTTGTCACAAGCGTCCATGCCTTTTGCGACCATGCCCAAAACACTGGTACTTACAGCATTTTCGCCACTTTGTACAACAGACTGCACAAGGATGTGGAACAAGAAAAGCATTCACAAGCGTCCTTGCCTTTGGCGACCATGCCCAAAACACTGGTATTTACAGTGTTTTTCTTTCTCTACGGGCTGCAGACTTGACCCGCAAGGGTTTACACTCCGGGCTAACACACTCAATCTCAGAAACCGAAAGACAAAGTTAAGAATTTAGTAGAAAATGATGTAGTTTTTTGGTACATCCTGAAGACTGATTGTAAGAGGAATCATGCAAAAACCCAGGTAAAACGTACGTTTTCGCGCAACACAACACCACGGAAACCCATCACCCGTGGTCCAGGTAGTTAGTAGGTAGTAGTTAGAGTTAGTAGTTGGTAGCTAGTAGCTAGTAGCTCGTAGTTCATAGTTTATAGTTCGTTGTTAGTAGTTAGTAGTTAGACCTAGTAGCTAGTAGCTAGTAGCTAGTAGTTAGTAGTTAGTAGTTAGTAGTTAGTAGTTAGCAGGTGGTAGTAGTTGTTGTTGTTGTTGTTGTTGTTGTTGTTGTTGTTGTTGTTGTTGTTGTTGTTGTTGTTGTTGTTGTTGTTGTTGTTGTTGTTGTTGTTGTTGTTGTTGTTGTTGTTGTTGTTGTTGTTGTTGTTGTTGTTGTTGTTCGTCGTCGTCGTAGAGCAGCAGTAGCAGCAGTGGCAGAGGTTAAATGCACATCCATGTGTGCACCAATCAACTTCGTGAAGTCGGATGCTCAGCGCCTTCTTGCTGGGGTAGGCAGCCTTGAGCGCTCGGGCCCAGTCATACCTGCGCAGCAGCTGTGCATGCTTGAGCTTAGGCCTTCGAGGGGTTCTAGGGTTACTCGCACTTCACGGGCCCTTGACTGGCCCACGATGAACGACTGGGCACGAGAGGATGTTGCGAGCAGTCGGGGGATCAACGTCCAAGATGCAGGCTCCAAACTCCTGATGCAGGACAGTCACGTGCAGCTAAATTAAGCTGCATGTCATGGTAGTACTAAGCTCAGGAAAACACTTGGTACTGATCAAGCTTGACAGCGTGGCTGAAACGTGCTCTCTGCTTTGCTTGGAATGCTTACCTGCAGCATCGTGCTGCAACCGCCTGCTTTGGGAATCCATCCAATACCCCACCACCCGTGTGGCCTAATCGTGCAACTGGGCATCGACTGTTTTTGCCAGCATTTGGAGCTCGTTCAGGCACGCTTTGTTGCAGGAGCGCTGCTTGCTCCATCACCCCTTGGGGGGTAAGGCTGGCGAGGTTCTCTCGTCCCCATCAACTCCTTGGCAAAAACTGCAGACCGAAATTCTCAAAAGCTCCTGAACTGCCTTCACACAGCAAGCCACCCTTCAAACTCGAACGGGCATCATGGGATAAGGCGACCCCTTTGTAGGGTGCCTGCGTGCAGGAGTCTGCTGAAGATATGAATGCGATGTCACCCTTCAGGTTGTGAGGAGAGGTTTAGGGCACCTGACCACGATACGACCGTTTCCAAAGATGACATCACCATGGACAAAGCAGACGTTAAACAGTTCTTGGGGCGTCAGGATGCAGCTCGCCAGCCTTGCGGGTGGTGCCATTGACACACACACACACACAAAGCCACAGACTCAGCTGCAACTACACAGATTTCTGAACAATTTATGACAGCAACACCTGGGTGGACACTTGTCCATGCTAATGTAAGTAAGCCTTTAGATTGTAGATGTAGACGGCTTCAGGACGTAATAACTGAGCACAGCTCCTCACAGCTTCACAGAAGACCAGCCATACTCTGTCCTGCCTGGCTCCATCACTTTGGGAGCCTGAGCCGGACGATGCCGGGCCTTGGGTTCCGTGCGGAGCTCTGCAAGCAGATGTGGCAAGATACCAAACCCATCTGAAGGTTCACGACCCTCATTTAGACCCCACCCCCAATAGTAGCAGCTTACTAGCATCCCCTTATGATAAGGACCCCAAGAAAGTACCCCCAATCTCCCCCATCTTGTTTCTGAGATCCTGAGCATCCCTGCGAGGCGCTGTTGTCGGCTTCAGAGCTACTGCTTAGCAGCACCTCAGGTTGCAAGGCTTCGGATTCCAGCTGCTGCGTTGGAAGCTTTGTAAGCTTCCCTGGGTCGGCAAGCCGAGCATGCTGCATCCCATGCTAAGGAACTTCTGACATGTGGCAAAGGAAGTTTGAAGTTCGATAATGCCAAAACTTTTGCATGTCAGAATTCCTCCGAGGTACAGTACTGTCTGGGACGACAACCGCAACACTCAAGCCCAAGTCGAAGCTTAGGACCATGGAACTTCAGGGCAGTCTCACATGCATATCGAGTCAAGGCTGCCGAAACCAAGTGTCTGTATAGGGCTGATGCCAGCACGGAATTGTCTTTGTCCGCACATACACCTGGAACGGTGCGTAGACCACAGCAAGATTATCTCTCAGCACTTTGGGCTGTCGTGAGTTGGGTCAGCACTCCTTGTTTGATGAGGGCCCGGATTTCATGCCCGCTGATGCAGAGTTGTCAAGGTATGTCAAGGTGCAGAGGCTTCTTATCAGACGCGAGCACCTGAGAAACAAACACAAAATGCCAAGTTACAAAGGCCCAACCTTGAGTGGAATCGAACCCTGCAAAGACCGAAAGGCTCCTATGGCTGCCACAAGCCGCTACTACAAGTATGGCATGTTGGCAGTGTGGAGATGTCACGGGCACCCATCATAGAGACTCATATGATCTCAGACCTGATTGCTGCACTTCCCTGAGACCTTGCCCCAGCCATGCGCAGGCGAGTCTTGGTCCTGGACTCTGCGCAGCCGGGAAATTTCTCGGATAGTGCCACTGCCCTTTAAACCTCGCCGGCATAGGGGCGACACTTGCGCATGCAATGCTTGGGCACTGGAAATGTGGGATCTCGGCAGCTGCAAGGTGCGGTGATGTGCAGGGCTAACAGTGCTGTGCCAAAAGCATTTCTGGGATTCTCCGCAATGCTGTGGGACATTGGACACGTAAGGCCAGGGCTGCATTGTCGAGCCGTCCCTGACTTGAATTGTGGGCCTGGCCAGAAGAAGAGGGTCTGCATGAGTCATGCAAGTGTGGGAGTGACCATTATGTCATCAAGTTGTACTGCATTTGAAAAAAACTAATAATTCTAATAATTCTAATAATAGATAATAATCATAGTATCATAACAATAATCATCATAACCGTAATGCTAACACGAATAAACATGCAAATAGGCTAGTAATGATAATCATAACAATCATCATCATAATAATGATGAAGGGTTTTGTTTGCGAAAGCTTGTGCCATCCCCAGCTCGGCGCCTGGGGACCGCGAGGCGCCGCACGATCACCAGGTCGTTCAGCTCGGAGGTGTCTAGCGCCTCACTGGTGCGGAGCCCTTCTTATCAGGATGCGCTACTAGGCCCTATAATCCCCATACTCGACCCTATTAAGGGCCTTCTTAAGAGGTTATAGGGGATAATTGCCCATCCTGAGGCATTACACGCGAAATGTCACGGGATATGGTGTTGAAATAGCCTTTGCATGTTTTGGGTTCTGGATGCTTGCTTGGCTGCCGCCAGCCCGCATTGCTGCACATGACCGCAAACCAAGGCTCTCCCAAATATTTGACTGCCCTACAGACGTTGAGAGTTTAGGGATCTAAGACAGCCTTAAACATCCTGAGGGCATTTAGGCTTTCCAACCTTTAGATCAGTACCATCTTATGCTCTTGTCCCGTAGCCACGGTGCCAGCAGCCCCTCGCCAGGACGTAAGCTCCTGTCAGCAGCGCACCGATGAGAAACTCTCATGTACCTGTATCACCTCTTGTGATCGGAGGTTCTCTCTGCACAGGCAATACCACGAATGCAAACTTTGCACATCAGCATCCCGTCGACAAAAAACAGTGACAGCAAGCAAGGAACTGCACAACAAGGCCAATTGATGCTTGCTGTTCACTTTGGGGGTGAAGAACTCATGCTGGTGTTCCATGATGCCCAAGGCCCAGAGAAAGCCCTATTGCCCTCCCGTGCCAGATCCTGCTCTCGATGCCGCCCAGCTCTGCAAGGAAGCCAAGGCGTCCCAGGAAGGCTTCCTCAGCGACTCCGCCCCTTTCTCTTCCCTCTTTCTCTCTCTATTCCTTTTTGTTTTTGTTTGTTTTCTTCTTTCTTCCTTCAGATTCATTCTGTGGGGCTTCAGGCACGAATTGGCTTCCCAGGCAGGATGTCCTGATGCCCCCTCTCTTCTTGCTCTTCTTTTGCTTCTTTTTCTGGGCCGAGGGGTCACGAAACCCTGCCCCTGCGCGCCAGGGCACTAGTTCAAGGTCGGTGTGAACCAACAAAACTCTGAACCTCCACATCCCCCCCGTAGCGGTGCACTGCGCCCAACTTCACAGGGGCAACTCCATCATTACTCTGTCACCCCCTGCTGTGACACGGCTGGCGCGGGTCGCCCCTTTCGCAACATCTCCCGAATTCTCCCGAACGACTACTCGAGAGCGGCAGTGAACGATCTTTGGCGGCACAGTCACTTCTGGACGGCAAGATAGGACAGCGGCTCCAGGTTTCCGAGCCTACCAGAATTCCTAGGTCTTGGAATCCCTGGCCGGGTGGTTGTCCCGCCTGCGCTCTCTCCTTCCCCCTCTCTTAGAGCACGGTAAGAAAACAGAGTTTTCTGTGGCCCCTTCTGTCAAGCAGCTGGCATCAAGACTTTACATTACCTTGCAAAAATGTGGGAAATCCAGAATCAGAAACTTGTGACTTCCATGATTCGCTGGTCGTAGCAGATGGGCCCCTGGCTGCCTGCCAGATGGCCGCGATGTCGGAGACACCGTACAAAACCTTGGGGTGCCATCGCACTTCGCATCAGAAGCATGCGCCGTTGCAACAAAAACTGGTGGCAGCTTTTGAACCACCTTGTCGATGGGTGTGCAATAATGTGCAATGCGCAAAAGTTTGGCTCCTGAAGCTCCGCGTCGCTAAGTGTCAGGCCAACTTGTCGCCCTGCCAACCCAGCCTGGCTCGCGGACAACTTTTAGACCGTTGACTTGGATGCTCGAGATGAGTTGAGACTAAATAATGCCTTCGGCACATTTATCGCTCACGGCCATGTTTGGATGAAAGCTCGCGCCGAGACTGCTGCAGGACTCACTGAATTAAGACGCCGGCCTCAATTTCAGATGAGCTCAAAACGAGTCGCATGGACCCACAGTATTCCTCCACCAGTCACGAGTCATGCTAACCTCCGAGAAAAGATTAGAAAAACGATGAGAACTGCCATGATGTAAAACCGTTTACCTCCCTCAGGGTGGAAACGGAATAATGCCCCGTCAGCTCCGAAAGGGGAAAACAAAACAGAGGAACATCACTAGCCATGAATTGTTAAGCTTTAAGGTGCAACTGGGTGCCTAAAGTTGTGGCCTTGAGTTCCCTTGAACCCATCCCACCCCCACACCCGCCGCGTAGTAGTCAAAAGACGTATGCATGATGCGGCACGGTTGGAGGCACATTCGACCTCCAAATATAGAGCCACTCATGTTTCCCCCTTGACTTCAGCGAAATGCAACGTCATATGCTTGTGAACCGCTTCTACACAATCGCTGCCCGCGACCTTCTTCAACGGATCCGCAGCCCCTCCCCCCCCCCACCCAGGCCCGGTGTCGATCTGCTGTTGCCGGAGGATATGGTGCGCGTATTGGAAAAAATGACTTGCTGGTGGGGAGATCTCCCTCCATCCTCCGATGCCCGGCTTCCTGTCCCCCGCGATGCTGTCTGTGCCCGAGGTGCAAAAGTCGGGCATGTCTGTGTGACTGGTCTTCGCCACGAGAGCTGCGCTGCGGCCTGTTTCTATCTGCACGCCCTTGGCTCTGCTGCGAATTCATTGAACATGACTCGCATCGCCCGCAACTAACAGTCGCCCTTCCCTCAACCATCCCACCGCCAAGGGCACCTCAATCGTCTCCC